GCCTTTTCCTGCAAGCAGGGCGAAGGCTACACATGCGGCAGAGCTGTCAGCCCCGCGCCTGGTCTTAGCAACTGTTTATTGCAAACACTGGCGGATCCTGGGGAGGAGGAGGCAGAGTGGGATGACAGCAGCTACATGACGGATTTACTCCCAGAGACACTTTCTGAGGGGCCAGGCAGGGCTGGTTGTCTCTAGGCTTGAGGCGGGGTCTCCAGCTTCTGATTTAAAAATAAAAGACAAACCTCTGTCATCTGACACTAAATGTTGTGGCCGTGCTGGGAATCAGACACTGCTCTGAAATTCCTCCTGCCCCCCAGCCCCAGGCTGCAGGTGGATTTCCCACCAGCTTTTGCAGGCTCTGGAAAAGGTCATCTGCCGCGTTGGAACGTGGCTCAGGAGCAATGCCAGCCTACGAGCTGGCCATGTCTGCATGCCCTGCTCTCCACTGGTATTCATTTTCCCTGTTGCTTGTGGGGAAAGGTGGACTGTTTGCTCTGTTTGCTGCCAGCTGCCTCCTCCGTTCAGCTGCAATCGCTATTCCTCCTCCCACCAAACACTGGAGTTTGACCTCAAACCAAACAAGCAGAGAACATAAAAGAAGAAAGAGATAAATCCACTCCACGTTTTAACATACAGTATTTTCAATTAATTTGTTTTGGGATTTTTACTGTTAACCCAGGGAAAATCTGAAACTGTTTGTTTGGAATCATCATACTTGATCTAAGCTATGTCTCCCCCTCAATCGTTTAGAAAGACACGGAGGAGGGGGTGATATTCCTTGTGACTGCACAGTTCTGTTGTTGCCCTGCTTTGGAGATACTTTTTTTTTTTTTAAAGGCTTGTCAACCCAGAACTCCCCAAAGTCTCAGCTTGCAATAACGACCACACATGCACGGGGTGTGAGATACTGCCTTTAGCCCCAAACTGAATTTGCTCCCATCTCCAACTAATCCTACATCACCTACAGTGATGCTGGGTCACTGTCCAGTTCCTACTGGAGAGCTTTCTTCATCTGACACCCTCTGGCCTGGCCAAAGGGACTAAATTGCCCATCCCTGCAGCTTGTCCCATCCAGTGGCAGCCCACAGTGCCACCTGCTTCCAGGACATAAATTGGAGTCTCTCTTTCCCGGAGCTGTTCAAGGCCTCTCTGACAACGGCCGCTGTAGTTTCACGGTCCGGGCAAAGGCTGAGGGAACAATGTCCCCAGCACCTTCACTTCTGCCATGGCTGGAGGCCCAGGGCTATCAATCGGAGGGAGAGTCTGCCCACACAGTATTGATCAGCAAGCACTGACTGGGCAACACAGGGCTGACGGCCAGTGGCTGCGGGAGTGCTTCCCAGGAAGGCGCCTTCATGGCAGTTGACGCAACTTGATGGTGTGATTACCCTGGCCTCTCCTGGGCCTGCATCTGGCCTCGAGCCCTCTGATCAGAGCAGTCATGTGGCAGTTTGCTAATGAGGTGACGCCCTGCATGGGCAGCACATTGTCAGGTGGAAGAGGAAACCGAGACAAGCCGAGAGAGAGGTTTACGATCTTTTCTGTCCTACCAGCCATGGATAGGAAGCAGAAGCAAGCAGAGAAGGTACAGTATGCCCACACTGCCATGATTAACACCCTTCATTTCTTCCCAGCCTCACTTTTCTTTCATGCTTCAGTAATTCCCCCTTCTCTTGTTTTTAACATTCCTTCTCCAAACTTCAATTTCATAGTTCTTACCAGGTCCTACAAAGAGCATAGGGCATTTTCTCTGGGGGTTCAGCACTGTGCAGAGGCTTGGTCACCTTGCAGATTTAACTCGCTCTTTCTTCTTCTCTCTGCTTAACTGCTGGGAGGAGGTGGGGGGACACCTATTTTCTCACTGCCTTGGAAATCAAAGGGAATGTTCTCACTGGCTTTGCATCCTCAGTACGCTGACAATGCAAAGTCCGGAGTCCTGTAGGAGAGTGTCTGATTCAGCAGATCCAACAGAGGAGCAGGAGCAGAGGGAACTGAAAACCTTTAAGAGTTAAACCAAAGCCCAGAGAGTAGTTTGATTTGTGCTTAGCTTTCTAGACTTATGCTGTTGCAATAAGTAATGAAATAGATTCTGACAGTATGTAAGATGAGTATCTCTTTCACAACTTACTTTCTTACCACTTACGGTGGGATGGAAAGGTTTGACTTTGTCGAATGCATGGAGACTCTCAGCTGGAAGGTGCCCAGAAAGCGGGAGACGTATCATTACTGTGGCAGCATTTCCTCTGATGAGCTGAGAATCAGTATCTTGGGAGATCAAGTTTCTCTTTTGTAGCTTTTCTGGATGTCCTACAACCATCTCTAACATGCAGTCGGTAGACCTGCGCCTTGTGTTTGCGCTTTCTGTGCTCTGCTCCCATGCCAAGACATTTGTGTGCCCTCAGAGAGGTTGGGATGGAGACTCCCAGATCCAGGTTATTTGCTGCCTCATGCACATTGGGGGGAAGTTTTGTCTCGACATTTGCTCTGTGCTTTGCAGGCCCGGCCCTACGGCCTGCTGAAGCCAACAACTTTAGGCAAGATCCCAGGCAGATTCCAACTTCATCAGGAAGCGTTGCCCCATCTCCCCGTGCCACCGCTCCAGCAAACACTAGACCGCTACCTGCTGGCTCTGCAGCCCATCATCAGCGAGGAGGAGCTGAACCACACACAGGAGCTGGTAACTGAGTTCCGCAAGCCAGGAGGCGTCGGGGAGAGGCTGCAGAAAGGCCTGGAGAGAAGAGCCAAGAAAACAGAGAACTGGGTAGGTTGGGACTCTGGCCCCCAGCTCTGGTTAGGGAGGGTAGAGGTCTGATGCGCACCTCTCCAATGTCCTGGCTGCATCCACTGGCACCTGTGTTTTTATGGCATCACCTTCATGACCAGTCTCCTGAAAAAGCGAGCTCCTCACCAGGACTTGGGTGAGCAGAGAGATTTATGGCAGAACAGGGAATTGCTGACCCTGTCTGTGGCTGCTGAAGCCTCTAACCTGTTAGCATCACACAGCTGCCCCAAGAAGTTGAAGGAAACCCTCTGCTCCAGCCCAGCACCAAGAGCTCCCACTGCCTTGCTCAAATCCCCCTAACCCTTCCATGTGCAAAGCATAAAACCCAAACAGTTTGTTTGCCAAGTGTGGGACAGAACTGGGGGCAGGATGCTGAGACTGTTCAGCCAGGCTTGGGTCAAACAGCAGCAAATGCCATGCCTGCATATTGCCTTTCTCCGTCCCAGCTCTCAGACTGGTGGCTGAAGACAGCTTACCTGGAGTATCGCCTGCCAGTTGTGGTCCACTCCAGCCCAGGTGTGGTTTTACCTAAGCAGGATTTTATGGATCGACAAGGTCAGCTCAGGTAAAGTCCTTTTCTACCTTCCCCTAGGTTTCAGATGGGATGAGTTATCTCTGCTGGACAGGGTGTTTAGGCTGATCAGGAAAGAGAGTAATTACCATGTGGTCCCCCAGTTTGATAGCTGCCTGTGCTGTGCAGGAGGGCTGTGCAGATAAGGAGAGGCTGCCAGGCTGTAAGGAAAGTGCACCAGACAAAATATTTCATCGAGGGGGAAAATTCCAGTCCAGTGGTTCAGGTACTAAACAGGGACTAAAAACCTACATTTTGGTCTTTGCTCTAGCACAGATCTTCATTGCAAGATGGCCAAATCACTGGCTGGAGGCATTGTGAGAATATAACTGACACACTAAGAGGCACTAAGATTGTGCATGCAGTTAAAGAAGGCATAAAAAGTAGCCCAGGCATGTAAGGGAGAACAACCAGAAATGCCTCTGGAGTTTGCTAGTTTATAGGGGTGGGGGAGCCTGCTGCAGGGTCGTTTCACTTGTGATTTATGGTTTGGGAAACAACAGTGACCTGCTTCTCCACTCCACGCTTTTTCTTGCAATCAAACCCTGCCATGTACTCCCTAACTTGTGGTCTCCCTTTAATTTTTAACCACCACTACAATTATGTTAAATCCACCTGCATCTTTAGCATTGACCTTTATACAGAGTTACCTTCACCACAGTTACCAGTCACCACTGCTCTGGCAGATAAAAAGTACCAGCCAGGGGAGCAGTGAGGCTGAGAACAAATCTTCCCTTCTGTTCCCTTGGATACACTTGAGCAGAGGTGCAGAGGGTGAGCCCTACATGGACAGTGTAAGACTAGACAAACTTCTCTGAAATATCTCTCTCATATTGTTCACTCTTAAGTTATCCAAATAGAAGGTAAGATCTGAAGCACTACCAGTGCCCCAACCAGTGAAACTGAGCAGCTGTGTAAGAACCCGGGCTCCCATGTAAAATACAATCTAAATGCCTGTTTGTGTCGTTTGTGGCTGCAGAAAGAAGTTTGACAACGTGGCTTGAGACTAAAACATCAGAAACCAGAAGGCAAATTTAGAAAGTAGAGTTCTCCATTCCTTAATCTGGCAACACTGCTGGTTGAAAACAAGTCAACTAACCTTTCCCCCATCTCCCGCTCAAGCCCTAACTCTGCTCTCAGGCTGTCTGCTCTGTGGAAGGGAGCATAGGCTCTCTCACTGTTGTTTCCCAGCTGTTTTATTTCCTCGTGTTCTGCAGTAAGGTTGGGAAATTTTCATTTGAAACTACTTTGCAGGATGTCTTATTTGTTTAATGGCCCTTAGGTTTTTGGACTTATGCCCTTTGATCTTTACTAGGAATGGGTAGGCTGAGCAAATCTAGGTGACACTGCCTGCAAGTGCCAAATGCTTGCACCACTTTAAAGCCTTTGAAGCTCAGCTGACTGCAACCTCTTGTCACGGTGACCTCCTGCTTCGTTTCTTGCATGCATGGCTAGGAGCTCCCAGGTCAGAGATGGCCAACCTGTCACTCCCAGCTAAGCAGTTTGATGTGGCTTGTCACAGCCTCCCTCCCTGCTGGGAGCTGGCATTGGCAGTCTTTATGTTGATCCTGGTAAACACAACACCTTAGTATCAGCATGCCTGCTTTTGTTTCAGATCCCTCAGTGCCAGAGGAATGGTCTTAAGAGTTGCATTAGCAGCAGAAGGCTCATCGGGTAGGAACTGAGTCAGCAGTAGTGAGTATGGGATGCAGGGAGATACAGCTGCATTTTGGCTTGCAACTCAGTGGTAGCCCCTGGCCAGGGAAGGGCAAAAATCCTCTTTTCTTGGTGCTGTTTTAATGCTCAGGCTCAGATCTAGGATGTGATAAAATCACATGTCAGTAAAAAAATGCTACTGTTAGAGGGTCATTTATGCATCTGGACCGAACCCTGCTCTTTCTTGAAAGTTGTCCAGAGTTCCTCGGTTATACAGTAAGATACATAAAAAAAGAAAGTGCTACACGGTAGGACTATCCAGCAATCTCAAATCACCACCCCAGAGTGGCTGTATCAGCTAACTGGAGATGGGCACAATAGGGGCTTGGCAAAAAGGCTGAACTTTCTAAGAAGCAGAGAGAAGGTCTGTTAGCCCTCCTCAGATAGTTCCTCAACTTGTTACATTTGACATTTTTCCAGGTTTGCTGCCAAGCTGATCGAGGGCATCCTGGATTTCAAGACCATGATTGACAAGTGAGTTAGTGACCCTCCTGACTTCTCACATGTTCCTTACTGTCATAGAGAGGCTGAGCCTAGTCAATAAATCTCCCTTCCAGATAGAAAGGCAAGAGAAGACAGCACATATTTGAAAAGAGATAACTGTAATCATCATCACTGCTCACTGCCAAGGTCACCACCACTGGAAAAAAAGCAAACTTACTTTTGTTTCTTCATCTTCTTTGTTTACCTTAATATTTTCATTGGCACGTGTACGTGCTTAGAGGGAGTGAGCCTGACTGACAGTCCTGTGGAGCTCATACTTTTGTTTGCCCACAGAACAAGTTAAAGCTCAGGCAGCAGG